AATAAAAAAAAGATGAAAAATATTCCTCTTGCCGAGATTTGAATTTCGGCAAAAAATGAAGGTAATAGTCGAAACATTATCGCTGCTGTAAAGCCTGCATTGCGAGTAGATTTTTCTTTTTTAATTTTTTCGAATGATTTTTTCTTAAAAACGAATAAATTCATTTTAATACTGAACAACAAAATTTATTATAGAGTACACTATATATCTTTAGAAAGATTTCAAATTCTCACAAATAAAAAACACGATTTTTTTACTGTTTCCTTATTAGCTGCATATATAGAATGCCACTTACAACTGTTTAGTAACGTCGATATAAATTTATTATTATATTTTATTGTTATGTATTATATTTATGTATCAAAAACAGTAATTTAAGTGCACTGAAAACATTTTATAGAAAAAAAAAATTTCTGTTTTTTAATTCATTGTATAAAGAGCGACTAATGTTGGTCAATAACGCGAAAGACAGGTGAACTGATAATATAATTTATATTCCATTTGGTGTGGTATAAAGTTTAATAAAATGAACACAAACAGTCGAATTATTGAATAGTAATTGACTTTGAGAAAAGAAAAGTCCTTGCGAGATTGATTTTCAATTTCCGTTACCAATTTTTTTTTTTTTTTTCTTTTTTTATCCTGTAAATGGTTTTGATTTCATTTAGACTCTAGAATTATTGTAAACTATATATACTCTTTAAATCTTTTTTTCCCTTTTTTTTTCTCTAACAAGATGAACTTTCTCTCTCTTTCTATGGAAAACTGCGATAATATCACGCGGGCATTCATTAATCAAGAAAACTGATCCCATCTCTTTATACAATTGATTTGTCTTATGGTTTGAATTTTGCGCCATTATTTATATTTATTTCACTATAACAATGGAATTCAGTCAGTTAAATAACTTTCAGTCTTAAATCAGATTGAAAACTGATTTTTGAAAAGTAGTCTATATATTTGAAACAATAGTTGTGCAAAGTTTGATAATATTGTCAACAATGAGCCTCGCATCATCGTTTATTAATCTATTGTCAATATAATGTGATTATTATTTATTAATGATTGGCTCAATCGTTCCAGGAAGTTGAGAAGGAATATTATTGTATCAAATTCAAAAAAAAACATATATATGCGAGGAAGTCCAATTACAAGCCTTATGAAATTGTAACCGCCTTGTGCGTTTGCACAATATTTCTGTTTTGCATGCCAACTATACTCGCAAAATAACGGAATAATGGGTGAAAGCAAGTGCTTGACATCCCCCCGGTAATCATAACTTATAAGTCATTATCCACAAATGTAATTGGCTTTATTCAAATCAGGAATGATTCTAAATAAGAACAATAATGTGTAGTTTGTGATTTTTCATGTATATAGGTAATATAGGCGAGTCGATTAAGATAATGCATTAACGATCTCTGACTTTATGGAAACAGAAACGTTCGTAGAAATTCTGATTCGATACAAGATAGATCTATACTTGAAAGTATGCATATAACAAAGAAAAATTAAAATTTTCACATACATGGGGAATTGAACCTTAGATACCCTTAGAAACGCAACGCATATGTAAATTACCACGCAGCCACGATCATTTATTTATATTTTAATACATCCTCAACGTTAATGGCATGTTTTCTTTTCTTTAAAATTAAAACATAACTAACAAATATTAATTGAATGATTTGATAAATAATTTTAAAAATTAATTTTTTGACTTTGCTTTTTAAATATTGATATAACTATTTTTAAAAAATACCAATCTGTAAATAATAATTTCAAAAAAAATTGTTAATCACACCATTTTTTAAAAATATTCTATATAAAGTCGCTGGACAACTAACATTTGAAATAGACTTTTTACGCTTTCGATGTTGTTAGTTGAAAGCTGAATGTCGATTGGTCTTTACTAACAAAATTGGATCACAACTGCAAGTGTTTTTTTTTTTTTTTTTTTTTTTTATAATGTTATATATATATATATATATATTTATGCGCGATAAAGTGAAAGTAACACTTAATAGACGTGAGTTTTACTCTGCATGCGAACACTACTTATTAGTGACAAACGACACAGATGGCAATTAACCCAAGAAATGCCCCTTCTCCCCCCTCCCTTGCCAATCTAATTTTTCTCTCTCAACTCGTTCTTCATCTTTAACTTCTATATAAATCTTTAGCTCAATAAATGAAACGGAAATCGTATAACTCTCGCCGGAAACTGACGAGATCGCCAACAACATTAGATATTATAGAGAATAGAAGCAACGAAGATCAATGACAGGTGAAAATTGTCGAGTTATTATTTTAATGAGATCAAACCACAATTTCCGTATCATGTGACTTGTTATAAGGTGTTTATTATATGAATTTCTTTTAAAATATCGTTCATTTGCAAGTTATTATATTAATCAAAACAATTTAAAAAGTGAAAATAATTATTCCATATTTGAGCCGTATTTTTTTTTTAAAATTCCCATGAAGAAAAAAATATATCGATTTTTAGCTCGATTGCAATTTCGATATATACTATCAATCGATTAAATATCGATATATCGATTATTGAAAGAAAATCGTTGATAATTTTCGATTTGCTTTATAATTGAGGTGTTACGGTCAATTAGCGTGTAATTAACACGTTTCATCTTGAGGGGGGTATTTTTTTTTTCAATTATATACTGAATGTAATAGGCTGACATCACAGGTTACGAATCGATTTGCGCTTCGTCCAGAGCGGCGTGGCATCACGACACAAACCTATATTGCTTGGATAACACTTATGACTTTCACTGTTAGTTGCCGTTACAGTCAGTAGAGATATAATCATGTTGACTAGAGGGAGCGATCGTGATCACGCGAGTTCTATAGGGCTCATATTATTATGTATAGGCAAAAGGCAAGAGAACTGATACGCTTTTCATCAAAGATAATCAGTATAATCATTTTGAGTTAACTTTCTGGGATCAATCATATTTTATATATATATATATAAAACTACTATATAGAGAATTAACTTCAATCGAGAAATTCATTTTTTCAGTAAATCCCATTTTCTGAAAATTTTTCTTCAGCAATTCATAAAATTATTTATATTTAATGAAATATAAAAAAATTATACGAGAAAATAATAAATTAAAATTAATTAAATAAAAAAGTTGTATAGTAATTATATTAATTAATTTAATTTAGAATTCATTTTTAAATGAATAAAAAATAAATCAAAATAATTCGATATATCAATTGACATTTAAATTCATCAAACTACTGTTTTGTCATATTGTTATTATTATCGTAAAAAATAATAAATAATTTTTTTCGCGAAACGTTTCGATTGCGAATGTGCGTCTTGATTTTAGTGACATAATTTTACTATATGTATATCTAAAAAATTTCTATATATAGAATGTAGAATTGAATATGGATGTTTTTTCTTTTTATTAAAAGAGAGATTTTTCTTTTAAACAAAAAATTTGTCTATAATAATTGTATTTTAAAATATGATTTCGACGCGTTAATTAATTATATAAAAATTAATGAAAACATGTTCAATTATGGAACTTGGGAGAAATTTAATATTTTCACGTATGTGTTAATAATTGTATTCTTTCGCCTTTGTAAATTAACGTGAATCTATAAATTAAATTTATTCAATCAATTTCTCTTGCAAAGAATGGAATTTTTTTCTATTATAATATTATGTATTATGCAATTCTTTGTTATACTGTACTTATAATTTTTAAATGCCTACGTCTATTCATTTTCAATAAGAAATTTTAATTTTTCTTTCTTTCTCTTTTTTCTCCGCGCGCTATATTCGTGTAAAATAATTTTTATATTTTTAATTAAAACTTGTAATTATATATGAAATTAATCAAAATACATTAAAGTTTACTTTTACACTCCAACTATAATTTAAGAAAATATTTCAATAATTATAATATATTTTGGAGTAGTTTACTATTATTTAGAAATAAATAATCGTCCCTCTTACGTTTCTCAATTGGAATTTAAAGTTCACCTCGAGATGAATTTAACAACCTATAATGGCCAATACTCGCATTATTCAATTAGTCAAAGTGCCCAATTTGCAAGCATTCGATTAAGGCGGTCAATGACAGACAGTCGCGTGAAAAATGCAATGCGTCAGTCAATTGTTTTTTTTTTGCATTTCAACTGTTTTTAACAAAATATTAATTATTAAAGATTTATTTGTAAATTCGAAAAATTATTTATTTACCTGTTATTACTAATAATTAAAAAATAATTACATTTTTTATATTTATTCATTATATTACAATATTTTTGTTTAAAAAAGAAAATTAAAAAAATGTCGATAAAATTAAATTAAAATTTTTGTTTTGTATCAGGTACTTACACTGAAAAGAAAATTTATTTGATTTAAATACTCGATTACGTGACTATTATCAAATAAATATATTTACTTGAACCAAATATTTTTTATGTGAATTAAATAAATTGTTTTTGAACCAATCATTTCTGTATTTTAAACAAATACCATTTAATTGGTTCAAATAATAATTATTTGATACGAATAAATATTTATTTTATAATAGTCAAGAATTCGAAGAGTTGAATCAAATAATTCATCTTTTGTTTATTTCTAATTTCATTATATATGAATAAAAAATTTGTTTAATTATTTATTGTCAAATAACAAAGTTTTATCAATGATATTTAATTAATTAAAAAATAATGATAATAATATTTTCAAAGATAATTATTACATTTATTAAGAGTAAAATTTTTTTTTAAATGTAAATAATTAAACAATAATAGATATTAAAAATAATAATTTAACTAAAAAATTGTAATAATAAAAGTCAATTTACTATACTATTATTTGTTTCTTTTATAAAGTTGATAAAAAAAATATTTTTTACAATAATTAATTAATTGTTATATCCACGTGACTTTGCCTAATTTGTCACAGCTTCATAGCCTAGTTATAATAATAATTTCTCGAATTATCAACTCACGGTGATCTAATCGTCGTCGTCGTCCTCTGTCAGGCACATGAATGTCGCATCTGCCGCCAAATTTTCTTTGAAAAAAAAAAAATAAATAAAAATAATAAAAAAAACACCCCTAAATCCAAAAAAAGAGATGCCTCTCTTCTCTTCTTAAAAGAAAGAAATATCCAGAAAGAATGAGTATTTTTTCTTCTTTTTTTTTCGATTATAAAAATAAATATCCACTACAGGATGATGTCCTGAGCTTGTTTCTCAGTCACGAACTAGTCCTCGACACTCCCATGACACAACTGGTGATGCACGATGCACCCACTGCACTTGGAACGCTGAACATGCGCTTCTCCGCTCACCGGGACGGATTTTTATATACGCTTCGTATAATTTAATTGGCCGAGTGCCAGTTGGACACTCTTAGGTTTTATTTAATTTTTTTCTTCTCCTTTTCCAATGTAAAGAAACGTCGATCGCCCTCGCGAATCAACGAGAAATGAAAATCACAAACGCTCCGAACACTGTGGCTTTTGACTGACAACTAAAATCCCTCGTGGCGGGACCAACGTGAGACGAAGACGTTTGGGGTCCTGGCGAACCTGCTCACACAGTTGGTAGCTCCCCTCCTCTTCCCCCTCCAATCGCCGGGGCCCAACCGCTCCAGCATCCCCTCCCCTCCACTCTGGGTCTTATCTCTTTCTCTCCTGTATATATATGAACGTTTAAGAAATGTGTATCACTCGGTCTGTGTGTAACTTCATACTCCCAATATTCTGGGACTGTTATTACTCGACAATTAATTAGATTGTCATTTTTTTTTAAATTATCTTAATCAATGATAAATATATGGATTTTTATTTTCTTTTTTTTGTTCTTGGTTAAAAAACTGTTTCTCATATTACAAAGATCTTGGACCGATATTATGTATATGCCAATATTAACCTTTTTAATGCGAATTTCCAAAAAAAAATAGATATTTTTTAAAACAAAAAAATTCTCTGTTTTACATATTAACATTTAGAAAGAAGAGAATTTAATTTGTAGAGTAGAATTTAAATTTTAATAAATTTTTTTATTTTATTCATAATAAGTTGCAAAATATACAGGGTGTTCCAAAAGTATAGAAACTTGCAAATATCTCGAAAAGTACGAATTTTTGTAAAAAATCTTCAAGGAAAAAGTTGTTCCAAACAAAAAGATGTTACATTTTTGAAACCAAAAAATTGGGCCCGGAGCCCAATGTTGGGACCTATAATGAAAAAAGTGGTTTTCTTAAATGAGACCACTAATTTTCAGTATCAAATTCGTAATCCCCATGAAATTCTGCGTTCAGACATGTGGTATAAGTGCCCAAAATATTGGGCCCAATCCAAGATATTGGGTCCAAAATTTATCAACAGATAAATAAATAAAAAATCGCTTCTTGGAGGGATTTTGAGATCACAGGATTAGAAATTGGAAGCTAATTTTCAAATTCCGCCGCCCAATGTGAGGCCCACGGTAAAAAAATTAGTTATCTTAAATAAAACCCATTAATTTTCAGTATCCAATTCGTAATCCCCATGAATTTCTTGGATTAGACTTGTAGTAAAAATGACAAAAATATTGGGCCCAATGTCTGGGATTAGGCCCAACATTTTTCGTTAAATAAATAAATTTAAAAAATCGCATCTTTAGGAGTTTTTGGGGTCACAGGATTAGAAATTCGAAGCTAATTTTCAAATTGTTCACAAAGCCCAATGTGAGGCCCACAGTAAAATAAATTAGTTGTTTAAATAAAACCCACTAATTTTCAGTATCCATTTCAGAATCGTTATGAAATTCTGGGTTTAAACTTGTATAGTACAAAAGCCAAAAAATATTGGGCCCAATGTCTGGGATTGGGCTCGACATTTTTCGTTAAATGAATAAATTTATAAAATCGCGCATCTTTTGGAGTTTTTGAGGTCACAAGATTAAAAATTCAAAGCTACTTTTCAAATTGGGCACAGAGCCCAATGTAAGATTCCGCAGCCCAATGTGAGGCCTACAGTAAAAAAATTATAGTTTCCTTCCATTTCGTAATCGTTCTGAAATTCTGGGCTTAGACTTGTGGTACAAATTCCAAAAATATTGGGCCCTCACATTGGGCGGCGGAATCTTACATTGGGCTCTATGCCCAATTTAAAAATTAGCTTCCAATTTCTAATCCTGTGATCTTAAAATCCCTCCAAGAAGCGATTTTTTAAAATTTATTTATCTGTTGATAAATTTTGGACCCAATATCTTGGATTGGGCCCAATATTTTGGGCACTTACACCACATGTGTGAACGCAGAATTTCATGGGGATTACGAATTTGATACTGAAAATTAGTGGTCTCATTTAAGAAAACCACTTTTTTCATTGTAGGGCCCAACATTGGGCTCCGGGCCCAATTTTTTGGTTTCAAAAATGTACATCTTTTTGTTTGGAACAACTTTTGTCTTGAAGATTTTTTACAAAAATTCTTACTTTTCGAGATATTTGCAAGTTTCTATACTTTTGGAACACCCTGTATAATTAAAAAATTTAATAGTTTTCATTTAAAATTTCTATAATTTCAACAAAAAAAAAAAAAAAAAAAATTGATCAAAACATGATTTACGCATTCAGTCGGGAAATTTTTCGAATACACACACAAATGAAATATGCAAGTTATTAAAAAAAAAGTCGAAATATATTCCACGTTATAAAACTATGTACAATTACCAAATAGATGAAAAATAAATACTTTTCATTTTATGCGATTAATTTATGTAAGTTAATTTTACACTAAAAATGTATGCAATAAAAAATTTCTTTATATTTAGACATTAATATATAAATTCCCCAGTTAGATATAAATAATATGTATATATAAAATAAAACATTTTACTATATATATAACAAAAAATATATAAAATTTATAAAAGCAGAAAAAAAGACTAGTATTGAAATTATTGCTCTTCATGTTTTCTCTCGGACTCAGCGAAAACTTGCAAGCAAAAATATACAAGAAAGTCTGACCTTTAAAAGCTTAATAAATCATCGCCTTTTTCCGGGTTTCGAATTGCTGACCGATAAGAAAAATCAATTTCCGATCTGATCAATGTTTTCGTAATAAGTCTTCCTGACGCGCGCGAGAGGTAGTAGCTTCACGGCCAGACATAACACACATACATTTAGTTCACTCGACTATCATTTAGCCTCGGGCTCTTCTTCATACATATATATATATAATACACATCAGAATGAACTAGTGTTATTACATTTTATTTTATCAAAAAATTTCATGTAATATTTTCATAATGTTTGCATTCTTTTTTTCCACATACATACAATGAAGTTGGTTGAAATTTTATAAAAGTTATTTAAGTACTCCATTTTTTTCAATTCATTTTCAATATATTCATATATAACGAAAAAATTATCGATATATCGATCTACTAATCCATAATCGAATTAATTCATATATCGCAGCATTAATCGAATTATGAATCGATATATCGAAGTATTGATTTATCTAACCACAAATCGATTTATCGAACCATGAGTCGATGTATCGAATTATTAATCCATATATCGTGGCATTAATCGAATTATGAATCGATATATCGAAGTATTAATCGATTTATCGAACCATGAGTCGATATATCGAATTATTAATCCATATATCGTGGCATTAATCGAAATATCGATGCATATCGTATATTATGTAAAGTAATAATGTATTTAACATAAAGAATGCGAAAATTGAATAACTTATAGCAAATTGTAAAGTTAATCATGTGATTTCTATATACTACGTAATAAACAAGTAAAGGAAAAAGCAATATTTGGGAAATATTCGTGCAACTAACAATAGTTCACTCGCCTCTAAATATCTATTTGCCCGAGGCAATTCTCATGTATATATTTTATGTGTACACAGAGATAAAACTACTGCTATTACGTTTCATTTTAACGAAAGATTGCACGTAATATTTTAAATAAAGTGTATTTATATATATATATACGTTCGCATTCTTATGCTTACGACACTTATATATATATATATATTCGGAAATATAATATACAACATAACTAAGCAATTTCTTTATTTTATCACTTTCAATAATAATATTTCAAAGCTATTGTAAAAAAAAAATTTTACTTCTTTATTTATATAGAGGAAAGTTCGATACAATTTTCGCGTAAATTAGCCAATCCTTTTGAAAACAATGCCATATTATAACAAATACAATTGCCTCGAGCAAAATTTATTGCCACATAAAAAAAAAAAGAAAAAAAAAAAACGTTTCTGATTATTGTAATTGAATCACTTTAATGCACCCAATGAACAAAAACGAATTACTATGTATAATCTAATTTACACATTAATGTGTAATTTTCAATTTTTTTTGTATCAATCATTTAATTAGATTTTTCGAAAAATTTAATTTTTTGTTTCTTTTCTTTTATTACATACTAGCTGTCGCACCCGTCTTCGACGGTTATAATATTTAGATTTAATAAATTTTGAAATTTATAATTACATCCAACTATACGTGTTCTCCTGTATTAAAATATTTTTTTATAAATTTTTAATTATTATTTATTCAATTCAATTTAATTTTTTCACTGCTTTTAATAAAATTAAAAGAATTTAAAATTGTATTTAATTTTATAGTATTGAAAATAAAAATTATTTTAATTAATACAATTTAAATTAAAATTTTAAAAAACTTTAAAAATTATTTGAAGAATAAATTTTTAATAGAAAAATTTCTTTTAAATAAAATGAAAATAATTTAATTTTATTATATTTATTATATTATATTATATTTAAGTTTATTTAGTTTATTTAGTTTTATTATATTTAAAAATAATTTGTATCTATAATAATAATAATAATAATAATAATATTCAATAATAATAATAATAATTTAAAGATAATAATTGTTAATTTCAAAGAGTAAAAATGTAATTTTCGATTTTTTATTTTTACAATATTTGATTTCATATTCAGATTTGCAATTATTAATTTTAAAATTCTGATAAAATTCTTAAATTAAAATTCTTAAAATTTCTTGTTAAAAGCATACTTAATTGGTCACAAAATTTTAAATAAAGAACGTTTAGTAAAGAATTATCAAAAAATAAAAAATGTTAAATTTTTTAAATTTTTTGAAAGTGTCATATTTTTGTTTAAATTAATATTTTTCATTGGTGTGCAGCTAAGATTGCGTTTAATACCCAACAGACTAAAAACATTATTGTTTTACTTATAAAAAGTTGAACATAACGAATTCTTATATTACAATGTTATTAAAAAAATTGGAAATTCAAAAATTTGTTTTAGACTTTTAAATTCAGACTATTTACTTAATTTAATAAAAAAAATTGATTGTATTTATGTGAAAAAATTAGGTACAAATAGTTTCAAATCAATCTGACAAAAAATAAAAAATTTGCATTTTTTTGATTTTTTTAAATTTTTTGAAAAAATGTCATAACTTTCGTTCATGTTAATATTTTTTAATCAAATATGGCTAAGATTTTAAGTTACGTTAAGACTGAATACACTGCCAAGT